AGAAGAGCTGATAATTCCGGTCTCGGTGATATCTTTGATTCCCTCGGGAAGAAGCTCGACGTTGGAGAGATTGAGACATTCAAGGTAGCCGGGGTCGAAAATGCGACGCTTGCAACCGAGGGGAAAGTTGGGAATAATGTGATCCCAGTATTTCTTTGGCGCAACGGACTTGATGTACTTCTTTGATTCTGCCTCGGCCTCCGCGCGAGCCTTCAGTCCCTTGGGAGTTGGGAAATATGTCGTTGTCTCCTCGTCGGCATCGAGAAAGATCTGTAACCGCAACCATCGCATCCACAAAGGCACCCACCGAAACATGAACGTTTCTGTCTCCGAGTATTGCTTGTTCGGGCGGGCATGAAACCATTGTCCACTTCTGGCGTACTGCTTGACGAGAGCTGCGTGTTTTGCTACGGCCGGCACCACTTGCGCAGCACTGCAGCCATTGCCGATAACCGCGATCCTTTTGTCCTTGTAATCGACGCCATGATCCCATCGCGCTGTGTGAAACATATGCCCCTTGAACTTTTCCATCCCAGAGAATTTGACATCTCGGGGAAAGGAGATTGCGCCCACAGCAGAAACCAGGACCGAGGCATACCGAGAATACTCAATGCCCGTCTGGAGATCCTTTAGATTGACCTCCCACTTCGAGATATCGGTGTGCCATCTTGCTCCCATACACTCAACTGAGGTGTGAATGTGCTTGTGAAGATCAAACTTCGAACAGGTATCTTCCATATCTGCGTAGCATTAGTCAGGGAATATTTAGCGATCGGTCGAAGGAGTCTCACATTGAAGAATTTCGGGTTGCTCGCAAAGCTCCTTCGACCAGTTCGGATTCATATTGAAGCTGAAGGAGTAAAGATGTGACTTCAAGTCACAGCCGCTGTACACATCTGTTAGAGTATTCTTCTTTGGAAACATCTAGTCCGCCAACGCTTACCATCCTGGATACGTGTTCGTTCTCCAAGTTCCACCGACACCATCAAGCTTTTCGTAAATCGTGAAGTCGTCAAAATGCAACTCATGCTTTAACCTATACGCCATGGCAATGCCGGCAGGGCCAGCACCAATGATGATGGCATTGAGCTCCTTCGCGTATTGTGACATTCTGGTTTCGGGCCTGGGCGGATGGGCGAACAGATTGTAGCTATTGTGTCGAATGAACGATTGCAGTGACTGCGCGAAAACAAGACGCAGTCAGGTTTCGTAGAACACGGGCGGTTCATCAAAGGGTAGGCTTCTCTTGCTTCTTTTAGGAATATCGCTTACCATACGGACGTGGGCCCGGTGCCAGAGCCGGCGAAATTGGCTGCCGAATCATTGCGTCGCCGCCTCGGGAATCAAATTTCGAAGTTGTGCTGATGGCGGCGTCTATCGTGATCAGAATTCCACCAAAATCTTCGATCCTGGCCAGAAGGGGTATTACAGGCATTACTTTCGATTTCCGTCACATGCCTACAGTTTCTGATGGTTCGGAATTCTCGTTCCGACAGCGGTGCCTCCATGAAATCCGACCGACAGTGTCTGGACAAGCCCCACAACGTACGCAATCCTAGCCCCGAGACTCACGTCACTCGCATGGTGGATCTTGGATAAGTTGATCTTATTGAGCCGCAAGAAAACGTAGCCCAGCGAATCACCTCCCGCTATTTCTGGACCCCACGTCTGATGCATCTTTTGGCACACTCCTCGTCAAATCGTAGTTTGCACGATGATCTTTGGCTTTGGTTACATCATCAATGAACAATCTAGAATGATGAGATTGTCTTACCGATGGATTTTCACCATAGATTTAATATGCTATCTCTGTTTCCCGTGTTGTGTTATTGCTTGTCAGAAAATACGTGATTGCAGTCTTCTTCGCAGAACCAGATACGTTCCATCTTGATAGTTCATGTGTCATGAAAGTTTGATTTTGAAGGCCTAATCGTAACCGCGGGTTTATGTACGTCTATTGAAGAACGGTACAAGTTCAACTACATCTGTCTACTTCAGATTTGCCTCCATCCTGCCATTCTCGCATTTTCCTCCCCCAGATCATCCAAGTATCTTCGCACACGCTTCACAATGCCCTTGGAATCCAGTTCGAAACGATCATAGTTGCTGGGGTTAGAGGCGGAGTACCCGTAAGAAACCATGCTGATACTCGCTGTGACGTATCTTGCCCATGTCGTTGCAACGTATTCTTCCACACTCACAATCGGAGTACCGTCCGTAGGGAAAACGCTGCGGCGATACTGCTTACTCTGTTGATCAAAGTGGGTGAAGCTGGGACAGCTGACAACACGAGTTGGAACGCCACAAGTAGATAGCGTTTTCGCGGCCTCGACGGCATAATGGAGATTTGTACCGCAACTGGCCAGAGTGAGCTTGGCTCCAGCCACATCTTCGATGACATATGCCCCTTTCGCGACCTCAAATCGATCAGTCGACGGCACTGCGCCAGTCGGATCTCTTCCTAGGGATAACATCGTTGGGCCCTCGCGGTTGTTCAATGCGAGCATCCAAGACCCGATTGTTTCCTCCGCATCGCAAGGCCTGATGTACGCAAGATTAGGCATCGCGCGATACAAGGAATCGATCTCAACTGGTTGATGGGTTGGGCCGTTTTGTCCCTCGGCGAATGAATCGTGAGTGGCGATGTGAATGACCGGTAAATGGCTCAAGGCCCCCATGCGGACGCCAGGCGCGGCCTGGCGATGTTGTGTCAGCTCTTCGCCATGTCGAACAAATAACGAAAGGACAGTCAGGAGCTTACATAGAGATAAAACATGAAGAATGTTGCAGTAATTGGCAAAAGCGTGCCAGGCCCATATGCAGCCAGTCCGTTGGAGATTGCTGCCATTGCATGCTCGCGAATTCCGTATCGAATGTAACGCCCTGCATAGCTGACAGACGGGTGGCATACATCGGCTTCGAGGTAAGAGACCTTGTTTGAGTTGACGAGATCGGCGCCCCCGCCAAATAAAGTCGGGCAGGATTTCCAGAGCTTTTCCAGAAGAACACCGTTGACCTCACGAGTTGCTAGCCCCTCGAATTGGCCTGCCTCGATTTCACTGAGCATTTGAGGTGCTTCAGTCCCGCGGTCGCCATTTCTGGCTCCATGGAACTCCAATGACTTCTCCGGGTACGCCGATGCATACTTCTGTAACATGCTGTTCCACTCTTCTTCAAGCTCCTTTCCGCGCGTCTTTCGTTCGCGAAAGTAGTCCAGAGACGGTTGTGGGACTTGGTGCGTAGCTGTTGGGTCTTGTCCCGCTAAGCGCTTCGACAAGGCCACACTTTCGGCATCAAATGCACCATGATGAGCCTTGAAAGTACCAGCGACATTGGTACCCAGGCCGATGACTGTCCGTATGTTGATAAAGACGGGCTTGCCTTTCAACGACTTTGCGAATCTGAGCGCTGAGACCACTGCACTAACATCGTGGTTGCCATCGGCGATCTCCAAAACATGCCATCCCGAGGCGCGCATCTTTGCATTGACATCCTCAGTGTTGATCCAGTCAAGCGGTCCGTCGCAGGTTACTTGGTTATTGTCGTAAATCAGTACCAAGTTGTCGAGCTGCATACTACCAGCAAGGGAGATAGCCTCGAGAGCAACCCCCTCCATGAGGCACCCGTCACCAGTCATGCAGTATATTCTCGATTGCACGACATCAAGTCCTGGTTGATTGTAGCGCGCCGCGAGATGTTTAGATGCGATGGCGAGGCCGACAGCATTGGCGATGCCTTGGCCCAAGGGGCCTGTCGTGACTTCCACTCCAGGAACTTCGATTTCAGGGTGCGCGTGGCAAATTGTCTTGTAGCCGTTTGTTTTGGCACTTCCATATCCTCTGATCTCGTCCATGGAAAAGTTGTCATATCCAACCAAATAATTGAGTGCATAAAGAAACATGGCGGTGTGGCCTTGACTGTTTTGTCAGCTCCAGTACAGCTATAGACGCCAAATAATTCCAATTCCTTACCGTTTGAAAGCACAAATCGGTCTCTGTCAAACCAGCTGGGGTTGTTGGGGTTGTAACGCATGACATGTTTGTACAGGGCTACCCCGATGGCCGCCATGCCAATGGCTGATCCCCCGTGGCCGCCTCCATTTTGATCGCAGATATCGAAGATCAAGTTTCGCAGAGCAAGCACGGCAAAGTCGTCGTCGTTCAAAGTCTCTCTCCAGCCTTTCAATTGGCCATCGATATGTCCGTTGAGGCCGAGGGCAGGTGGCGGTGGCACAAAGCTTGGTTTGTCTCCGTTAAGGAATGGCTGCTGCCCTGAGCCTGAGGAGACACTCTCGATGTGAAAGCTGCACTGATTCTCTGATGGAGGCATATTTGGGCGTACAATGTTGCGCGATATCTACCTCGATTGAACTGAAACGGCGACGCGGTGAGGTGTTTTTCTCGTTCAACCAGTGAAGGGAGGATTTTCGACAAACAGAGCTGCGCGTGTGGCAGTCAATTTTCTTTGAGGCTTTGTTATAGTCAATGTCATCACCCCATTTTGCCGCCGAGGTGCTTCCCGTTTGTCGGGTTGATGATGGCTAGTCCTCGGCCGGCACCCGGCTTTTGTGGGGCGCTCGGCCATCAAATCCGTGGCTGTGAGCATCGGGACTCAATGTCCGGCCACAACCTGGAATGAAGAATTTCCATGCGGAAATCGGATCAAGCGCTATTACTCTGCATGATCCCATTTTTATTTGATGCCAATCATTGCACTTCCGATCACAGAACGGCTCAATAATGCCGGATGGAATTGATCATATGTCTTGTGAAAATGATTGCGGGATTCGGGTCCGGAGGGTGCCATGTCAGCCCAATCTTCAAGCACATGGTTTGAGCTCCTAAACTGATCCTTCCGTTAAGATTGAAATGAAAACTTAATGTACGTGTTCTCTCCTACATAGTCGCAGCATTCCTCTTGACTCAGAAGCCAACATCGACTTCGACCCGTTGTCTCGACCTCGCAACCAACTTGTATAACTTCTCTCCCGATACTAGAATATGGCTTCTAGCATCGTTAATGCGCCTCAGCCTAAGGCGGATGTCAACCGGTACTTGAGCAACTCGGTGCACGATCTTCTGTCTCTCAAAGGGCGAACCGTTGTAATCACAGGCGGCGCTCGCGGACTCGGGCTAGCGTTTGCGTTAGCAGTCGCCGAAGTAGGAGGTAACATCGCCATTCTTGATGCAGCCCAAGAGCCCCATGATCACTTTTATCGAATCGAGCAAGAGCACGAAGTCAAGATCAAGTACTACAGGTAGGCATCATTTGCGACTTGTGGCGCAAATTTACGTGGCTGACTAGGCCTCTCCACCACAAGGAGCGACGTCACAAATTACGATATTTTGAAAGAGACATTCAGCAATATTGTCAAAGACTTCGGTCGAATCGATGGGCTGTGAGTCATCCTTGGTCCAATATTTGAGCTTCTCTGGGTCTAACGCATCGCAGTGTCACTGCCGCTGGCATTTGTCCCGACGAGCCGTTCTTGCAAAGAAGCCCCGAGTCCGTGGCCAAATGCATGAACATCAATGTCCTCGGCACTTACTATGCCGCGCAGCTAGCAGCTGCACAGATGGCTAGCCAAGAGCCAACTGATTTCAACCCCCGCGGAGGCTCCATCGTCATGATAGCATCAATTGCTGCGTACGTCGCTAGCAAAGGCCAGACAACCAGTGACTACTGCTGCAGTAAGGGTGCAGTGGTTGCCTTGGCCAAAGCTCTCGGTGTCGAGCTTGCTGCGAGCGGCATCCGTGTCAACAGCATCTCTCCAGGGTCTGTTATATATTAGTCTGAGTTTTCAGAAGTTAACACTAACATGGTGCATAGATACATGGCGACTGACATGACGCTGGACTTGTGTAATCGTTATCCCCATCTTGGAGAAATCATGAACACAGAGCCACCCATGCGGCGAATGGGTGATCGCACTGATCTAAAGGTTCCTGTGGTGTACCTGCTGTCAAACGCGAGCGCCTATCACACCTCAGATGATATTTTGATAACCGGAGGCATCCATGCTGGCAGGCTGATGTAGTTGTTGTTGTTGTTCTATTTTAACGCCGTGGCGGCAAAGGCGCAGCCGCCCTTGCGGCCGACCTCCCGAGGGGTATATGGCGTGGAGGGCCACAGGCTCAAGCTATATACTCTACAGTACACGCCTCTTCCAAACGTCCTCCAAATCTTGCCTATAGGCTGCTACGTGTTCTATCCGTCCCTAGTTCCCGCTGGTTCCCTAGTTCCATTATACTCGTCAGTTCCTCTACGAGGAGGGGGTTCGTTACTAAGGCCTAGGTTCAGGCCTAGGCCCTAGTACCGCGGGCAGATCTTCTGGAAGAAGTCTGTCACGCAGAGAAAGGCCCAGAAGCCTTCATGATCAGTGGTTAGCCCCTTGTAGTACCGATCAAGAGATCCTATTGGTCCTATAGGCTCCTGTGGACTAGAAGGGTGGAGGGTGGGCCACTGAAGCCTCCTCACTAAGGTCTTTCGGCAGTAGACTAGGTGGTCTACCTCCTTTGCCTCCCCACAGGAGCAGGTAAGCAGTGCTTCTGTATGGTTAAAGCGTTGATGGTATTGTTCGAAGTCTCCATGGCCTGACCGGGCTGCTAGGAGATGATGGAGTATAGCCCGTGGTAGGGCTAGTTCAGGAGGGCAGGCGAGGGAAGCCTTAAGCCCTAGTTGGGTGTAGCGGGGTGTTGCCTCTTGCTTCCACCATTTTCTATACTGGCGGCATATGCGTTCTCTAGCTAGCCGTTTGATCCCTGACAGGGTGGCTAGTTGGCCCCTAGGGGCTGGCAGGGTTGTGCCCTCCTTGGCTAGGCTGTCTGCTTCCTCGTTCCCTTTGATGCCTTGGTGCCCTGGGGACCAATGGGTTCGTATGTCATACATCCTAGCTGCCTCTTGGATCTCAAGGAAGGCAGCTTGTGAGGAGTCTGGGACCCTGCCTTGGATCCCCTGGATAACGCTGGTATTATCGATACAGATGTGTATAGGCTGGCCCTGGGAGGTAAGGAGGGCTCGTCGGAGCCCTGCCCTCGCCCCCTCAGCCTCCCCATCAAACACTTCTGCTAAGCTGAGGCGGCCGCAGCCCTGGGCTATACGCTTGTTCTTACGGTATATAACAAAGCCAAACCCTGTGGCGCCATTAGGGGCTTTAGAGCCGTCTGAGTAGATAATAGTATGCTTCTCTGGTACAGTCTTAAGCCAGGCCTGGAAGATCCTCGCTGCTATTTCCTTCGTCTTTGTGGCTATAGGGTTATAGGACCCTGGGAGGTATTGCGGCTGTAGGAGTGCTGGCCTTGGACACTTGGGTAAGAGGCCAGCTGTTCTTTGGAGCCTGGTCTGCTGCCGCCCTGGCTGCAGAAGCCTTGGGACTAAGGGATGTTGTTGGTCAACCTTCTGTAGGCGTGTAGCAAAGCGTAGTCGCGCTGCCTCAAGGGCTACCTCTGCTGTAGGTAGGCCAGCATCTCGGATGAGGGCACTGGTTGGTGTGGTCCTCCAGACAGGTAGGATAGCCCTTGCTGCTGCTGTGATAACTTTTCCAACTCTACAGGCTAGGCCCTTCTGTCCTGTGCCAACTGTAGCTATCTGTAGAGTAGTGCTACTGCTAGTATTGGTGCTGCTGTTCAGGGCTGGTCTGGTCAGGCCTGCATACCAGGTCTCCGCTCCATATAGGGCTATTGGGAGGGCGCAAGCAAGAACTGCTTTTCGAACTGCAACTGCTGGGAGCCCCCCTTTAGTGTTTGTTAGGTGCCGTAGGAAATAGGCTACCTTCTTTGCTGCTGCTACCTTTATTGCTACATGGTGTTGGAAGGTGAGTCTCCTATCAAACCAGACCCCTAGCCATCTTATAGGCTTAGTTGAGGCCTTAATAGTTAGGCCTCTCGCTTGGATATCTGGTAGGTCTGTTGTCTGTTTATGTTTTCTGCTGAAGTGGATTGCCTCACACTTAGCTGGGTCAAAGGCGACTTTATTTTCCGTTCCCCAGCTGAGGATACTAGTGATCTCCTGGCCTAGGGCTGTAGCATTCCCTTCTAGCGAGGGGCTAGTAGCTACTAAGCCTATATCGTCTGCATAGCCAAACCGTAGCTTCTGATCGTCAGCTAGGATATCAGCTATATAGAGCAGGAAGAGGATAGGTGACAGCGGAGAGCCTTGCGGTAGTCCACAGGAAAGAGGGAAGTCCTCAGTAGTAGTATCCTCTAGCCTGACGCAGGCTGTTCGGCTGGAGGTGAAGGTGTAGACCAGTCTGATCAGGCTGCTAGGCCAGCCCTGCTGTCGTAGCCTGACAATAAGTCGGTTTCGTAAGACGGAATCAAACGCCCCCTTGACGTCCATTGTTGCTAGCGTCGCAGTAAGCCCTGTATCTAGAGCCCTCTCAATCTCATGGGTTAGACAGGTTGTGAGGTCAACTGCAGCCCTCCCTGGTAGGGCTCCAACCTGCTGTGGGCTGGCAGCCCCTTCTAGGATAGTAAGGTAGGCCATCCTTTTTGCTATCAGCCGCTCTAAGCCTTTGCCTAAGCAGGATAACAGGGATATCGGGCGCCAAGACCCAGTCTTAGAGAAGTCTGTTTTCCCCGGCTTCTGGATCATAACAACCTCTGCTTTGCGGAAGGGTCTAGGGAAGTAGCCTACCTGTACGCAGGCCTGGAAGAGCTGCTGTATAGGCCTAGCTACTAAACCCCAGGTGCATTGTAGTAACTTTGTAGTAATCCTATCAGTCCCAGGGGTTGTAGTCTCTGTTAGAGTAGCCTGGCGTACTTCCTCTATACTAACTGTATCCTGCCAGGGTATAAGACGCCTTGCGACTACTGGAATAGCAAAGGGGTTCCCAGGTAAGTCGTCTGCAGCACTAAATCGCTCTAATAAGGCCTTTCGAAGGGCCTGAGCCTTATCGAGGCTATTGCTGATCGTCCGTCCTTCTACTATGAGAGGTGGGGCTTTAACTGCTAAGCTAGACTTCCGCCAGCCTAAGATTTTATACAGGTCTTGGTCTGTCTTAACCTCTTCAATCTTAGCTATCCAGTAGGCGCGTTTTGCCCTTCTGACGGTTGTCAGGAAGACTTTCTGCTCCTCTAGGACAGGGGGAGGTATAACTAGCCCTGGTTCTTGGGCCTGTTGGCGCCTAGCCTTAATAGCAGCTCGGTGGGCTTCTGAGCAGTCTTCTGTCCACCAGGGGGCTCCCCTGCCCTGGTTAGTCCGTCTCTTACCTACAGCTTGAACGGCTGTGTGGAAGAGACTAACCAGTTGGGCAGCTAGAGTGTCCAGCTCCGCTGGGCTTAGGTGTTCCCCTGGGGTAGGCAGGGCTGCAGCCCCAGCCTTTACTAGGTCGATAAATCGGGGTAGGGCTGACTCTGGGACTGAGAGGTGGCTAGTCTGGCGTCCCTGTTCCTGGGCCTTGCCTATAGGGATAATTGTTGTAATAGCTTGGTGGTCAGCCCCTGGGTGTAGGTGTGGGCTAATATAAGCTTCGGCAAAGGGGATATTTGAGAAGGTCAGGTCGAGGGTATGCCCATGAGTATGGGTAGGGGCCCCAACTTCTCCAATAAACGACAGATCATAGACTTCAGCCCACTCTGCAATATCGTCGCCCTGGTTCCGGCTAGGGGTCCCAGGTTCCCAAGAGGAGTGGCGGGCATTAAGGTCCCCAGCGATAAGGGCTCTCTCTGGCGGTTGATAATCTAAAAGGAGGCTGGTTGCTTGGTTTATAGGCTCATCTGGCGGCCTATATATATTCATAATAGTGAGGTCGCCAGCTTTCACCCATAAGATATCTCTTGATTGGGTAGGTCTTTGTTGCTGTATCTGCAGCCTTAGACCTTTACGTGTGTAGGTCATAACCCTAGGCCTTGTGTCTCTGCTGTTCCAGAAGTCGACTGGTACATAGGAGTTAAAGCCTGGGTGTGTGTTAATCTGCATCTTATCTCTATAGCCTACCCAGGGTTCCTGTATCAGGACTATGTCGATCTGATCTGCCCAGCAGAGCTCCAAGAGAGCTGTATGGGCTGGGCTCCTCTTCCCCACATTACACTGGGCAACTCGTAGTACCTGTGGGGTAGCTGGCCTGAGCCTATAGCTCTGAGTCGAGGTCGAGGTGGGTGTAGGCATTAACAACATTATAGTCAGGCTTCTGGGCTACCCTCTGGCTCCTGCTGCTGCTTGGGAGTGGATGGATAGGGCGGTTAGTTAGGGGGGGGAGGGCTTCAGAGTCTTCAGCCTCATCCTCATCCATATTGTTGCTCCCAGCTACACTAGCAGTATCTGCAACAACAATTGAGTCTTGTGTGGGTGTGAGGGGTCGAGGGCGCTTGGATGCCAGTTGTTGCTCTTGTGTAGCGCTTGGCTTAGCCCTGGCTTGCTGTGTGCTGCCTGGGGCGCAGGCCTGGCTAGCTAGGAGATCATCAGACGCCTTCTCTCCAGCTATCCGGATACCTCGCAGTTCCTTCCGGGTTGGGATAATTAGGTTTCCATTAACCAGCAGAGGCCTAGCTGGGCAGTCTGCATGGCTTGCTGGGAAGGGACCATAGCAGTTAGCACACTTAGACCTAGCTAAGCAGCTCCCAGCCTCATGAGTATCTAGCGGTTTGCTGCAGTTCTCGCAGAGGGGTTTCCGGGTGCAGTAGCGGTTTGAGTGAAAGCCCTGGCAGCCAGGGGAGTGTTGTTTGGGGGTCTGCTTCCTCGGGGGAAGCAGACGGGCAGGGCCTGACTGTCCAAACAGGCGGAAGCCTCCCTTAACCCCTTGAGGGAGGGCGATAATCAGGCTTTGTGTAGCTGTGGCTAGATCGGGGCTATCTCGGGTTGGGCGCCAGGAGAGGAGTCTTTGCTTTGTCTTTAGGAAAACCTCTTCCTCTATTTCAGATTCTATGCTAACCCTACTGCCATCAAGGCTGGTAAAGTAGAGGGGGCAGAATGGGACGATATACTGATGCCACTTAGTAGGTATCTCAACCTTCTCAGCTGTAAGGCAGTTTTTGATCTTAAGGGCTCTCTGAAGAAGTAAGGTTTGGATCTCCTTGTTTTGGGGCTGAAGTGAGAAGC